CGTCGGCGTCGAAAGCTGTGTACAGTCTGGTCGTTGTCGCCAGCGCATGTCCGGCTGTCCTATGCTGAAGGTGAGGGCGGAAGGAGAGGGAGGGAGAGAGAGAGAGAGAGAGAGAGGGCCTCGGATCGCGCTTCCCTCTGCCTGTGCTGAAGAAGAGAGGGCTTGCTCGGGAGGACTGCTCCCGCCCCAAGCCACAAGCAAAGCAAAGAGAGCAAGCCCGGTTCGGAGAAGGAAGGAAGGAACAGAGAGCGGGGGATTTGACTGTCCCCCAGGAACGGTACTGCACTCGTTCGTCACCCCCTTGTCCCGACAAGTCGGGTGGGCTAGATGCCCGGGGGCTTTGACAGGCCCCCATGCCCGGGAGAGAGAGAGAGAGAGAGACCCCTAAGCCCGGCAGAAAGAAAAGAGACCAGAACACCTCGCCAATGAACCGCGGGGGTACGTTCGCGCAAGGGGGGGGTGCCCGGTACGCTGCTGCCTTCCTCACGCCCTGTAGAGAGAGAGAGAGAGAGAGACAGAGAGACAGACGAGAGTGCGGGAAACCCCTTCACGGTAACCCCAATTGGATGCCAAGCGACGGTTGCCACCCAGTAGTCCTTTCAGTGAGTCACGGATGACCTGAGTGAAGCCAGACGAGGGGTTTCAGGCGTCATCGTTTGAGTGTGTTCTGTCAAACTGCAAGACTGGTTCGTGGATGTCTGTCTGCGATGAGAACCTGGTCGAACGCTTGAGAGCCAAACACGGCACCTTGGAAGACACGGGCTTCATTTCCTCAGAAAGCTCACCAGGCTGAGCGTCGGACCTGCAAAACAGCGTCTGAGCCGAAAGAGCATGTCAGAGCAACGTTCCCGCACAAGTCCTTGCCGCATCTAGGCTACGTTGATTTGACATCCCTCTGCACCTTTGCACATTTCTATTTGCAGTACACGCCTCATGCTGAGGGCACATCTGTATCCACACTATGTGTCAGAAGCATTTAAACTTGCTTGAAATGGTGTTTTCCGGCGTCCGACGAGACTTAAGTATTGCAAGCCTGGAGAACACAAGGGCCTTTTCTTCGCAATGGGTTTTGCACTTGCCAGGTCCTTACCACCTGAGCCCGTCGCCGGCTTCTCAAACCGGGCAAACCTGCATAGGGAGGGGAAGGGGGTCAGCATTCTGGTGTCAGTGTGACGGCAGTGCGTTGCATGGTCGCATTGCTGGCCAAGGTGGTCTCAGTGACTGCGTATGAGCCTTCGGTCATGAACGTGTTGCCCCGGCCTGGTTGATGCCAGAAGATGCTTGCGCTTGGGCTTGGGGTGCTCGCAACATGTCCGCAAGTGCCAGGTCGGAATTCATTTTGATCCTCATCGCAACTGGTCTAGTCGCTGCCACTTGCCCAGAGCGAAAGGGAGAGCAAGCGCCAAGCGGAGCTGATTGAGTCTGTGCCGGGACTGAGGCCGGGACCGTCTTTTCCACAGCAGACATGCGGCAGACGGGCTTCGGTTCGGCCATCGCGCCGCAGCTGGAGCCCCTGAGAGTACTTTGCGCAGCCTTTTGCACCGTGTCTTTGATATGCGGATTGCTCTGAGGGCCGAGGAAGTGCAAGAAGTTGACACCGTCATGGCGGAAGCCCCGACGAGAGTGAAAAGACCACGTGTCCTGCGAGATCGGGTCACTTAGGCTGGGAGCTTCTGCATCGTTGGAAGCGCAATGCTCGTCTTCCTCTTTTTCTTCATGCCCCGGCCTATGCTCACCTCACCAATCTTGCTGCGTTGATATGCCGGCGCGAGGAAATACATGATCTATGTGATCATGTTCAGCTTCTGTGTTGGCACCTTCCTCAGATGCTACATCATGCCACGACTATCGCTCTTTCTCTGCTGGAGCTCTGGGGAACAACGGCGCTGACCAGGTGGTGCCCTGTGTCTTGCACAGTTCATCGCTATGTCTCTGCATCACTACGTTTGGGAACCTGGCAGAGCAGTGAGCGGAAGCGGTTTCTCTTATCTCGCGGCTGAAGGTTCCAAGACTGAAGCACCGGTTGTTTGACCTGCCTCAGATGGGCCCAGTCACGGAGGCACCCCGCATTCGGGAGACTGCTTCAGAGAGATTCGGGTCGAAGTTTGCAGTCACCTACACCGAGGCAACGACTTGACTTGCAAGGATCCGTGGAACTGATGACACTTTGCCCAGGGTTTCCCAATTTTCGAGAATCACACTGAAAAGCAGATGCCCCAACAACAGCAACAGGTCCCTGGAATTGCACGCTGGATGTTGAAAGATTCGTTCCAGCCGCAGCTGGGCCAGGCTGAATGCATTGCGGCAGTGCCGGCGGTGGCACTGGCCATGCGCTTCCCTCAGTTCGGTTCACTTTCCCCGGAATGTCCTTCTCGCCCATGCGAAGATGCATTGTCCCCGTAAGTTTGCAGACTTCCTCCAGACCATTTGAGGTGTTGGTTCGTCCTGAGAAACACGCAGTACGGATGGCCCTTCCAGGAAAGGGGACATGTCAAAAGAGTCACGGCAATCTGTTCAGTCAGGTTGTGGAAAGACGTTCACCAGACTCGGCAGACGGTTTGCGGCGCGTTTGAAAGGACATCATTGGAGCAGGGTTTCTGTGTTGGATGCAGCGCACTTTGAGGCTCTGTGCCAAGGGGTAACCCGATGGAAAACAGTGACAGCACACCCTCACAGACACAAACCCATCCCTTCAGGTTGCCGAACCTCAAAACAGCGACCGTGCTCTTGACAGCGATGTTCTTCTTCGACATCTACTGGGTGCATTCCCCAAAGACAGATTTGCCTTGCACAAGAACACCGCGAGAACCAGCTCAGGTCTTCATTTCGGTGCACCAGTTTAAGCAGAGCGTGATGGTGAGCGTCGCCACCGGTGCTGGGACTGGAGAATCGGTTCCCATGCTGATCAGGAGTAGACATGGGAAAGATTTTGCAGACAGCCAGAGAAGTGTGTTCCTGGATAGCAGGATACCGCAGTTTGGAGATCCTCTGGGTGGCGATCGAATGCTAGGGTGCATGACTGAATCTGATGGCATGCGGGATCCATTGTGGCACACTGTGTCGACGAGGTTTGGCGATATTGCCTTGCCGGGACTTCTGGCTGCCCGGCTTGCAAGGAGACAGTCGTACGTCTCTGAGTAAGATCTTCCTCCTGGACTCGCGGGGTCCCTCAGAGTCCTGCCAGGTCTCCTACCTGCGGAGGCATGACCTCACGAGCCACCGGACCTTTTGGGAAGGCAGCCGGGCCAAGCTTGAATCTCTTCATTATGGGCATGGTTCAGCCAGGCTATTTTGCACCATCTTTGTTGGGATATTTCTGCGGGCTTTGCGCCTGAAGCTCAGTTTCTCGATTCAGGAAGATCCCGAACTGACAGCACTGAGGTCACCATCGCGGCCTTGTCTATCATGAAGATGGGCACCCCTGGCTTGTGTTGAAGACTTTCGCCACTGATCTACACCGTGTGCACCTTCCAGGTCAGCCTGCATTGCTGTACCTGGTCCCTGGAACGCTTGGGACGACCGTCCTGCTTTCTCTTTGTCCCTGCCTCTTCATGAGTTCATGCAATGTACCTGCTTCCTGCTTCATGGTGTGGACTTCTTCAGGCAGAGGGGAACTGCCCGAAGCTTGGCTCCGCTCGAGGCAACGGCTCCGGCCTTGCAGCCGTGCCATGTTGAAGCCGAGGCAACTTCTTTGGGATGGGCTGCCCGCAAGAGGCTCACGTCGATTGGAGGACCGCTCCTCATGAGGCATAGTAGTCGTGCTCTTGCTGCCACTGCTACGGCATGGCAGGAGGGGGGCGCCAACAGTGCAAGGACCTCAGTCGATGCAAAGATTTCGCAGTCCATTTCCTGGGTATGCATGGATCTGGTTTGTGTGAGCCACTCAGCCGAGGATGTCCTTTGATCTCGGGATTATCGATGTTATCCAAGTGTTAGCTTTTTAGTTTAGCTCTTCGAGCTGAAGCTTGTTTCACCTTTGCATCGATGTTAACAACGTTGATGCTTCTCACATCTTTCCTCTAGGGGTTGTGCAGGCTGCGAAGGTCGGTTCGTGAAGAGACGTCCTATTTGGAGAATCTTTGCCATATCGAAGGCCCGAGTCGCACCTTCAGCCAAGTTCTCCGGCACGAGCCCGGATCGGAGTTGCAAAAGAGCCGCCTTCAGTGGGCAAGTTGGCAGTCGCTCGGAGCTGTGTTGTTGCCATGTCTTCACTTCGCTTGTTTCGTGCTGGCCGGAGGCACGACAGCGGCAGACCCAAGGGCAGCGGCGCCTTTGGCTTTTCGGGGGCCCTAAGGTCCTAAGCAGCCCGAGGGACCGAGGGAGCAGAGAGCAGACTTACAGTCACCTTGATCGTCGCAAGAGATCGAAGCAGTAGCCGAGAGGATGACCTGTGAATAACAACGTGTTGGCGTTTCATAGAGGAGTAGTCACCATTTCATTTGCAATAAAGCCGTCTCAGGAGGATACATGAATGGTGTGATGTAGGCTATACTTTCCGTGGCTGGGCAGTCGCGCAGTTGGACTATCAGTTGGATTATCCAATGTATATTATGCATTATGGCCCGTTTTGGCTCGCAGCAGAGGACAGGTGAAACCAAACGGACCAAACGCATGATTCAGACTCTTGTCCGTGGCAGGCCACAGACAGCATTCGATAGATCAATCTTCGAGCAGCATTCATCCTGTCAGCCGACGCTATACTGGTAGCACTCTCCCAGGCATTGGTCGCCCTGAATGGTTAAAGTTGTTATGCTCGCAATGATTCGGAAAGCATGTACGTAAAGTACGTAAAGCGCTATGCAGTAGCAGCCGTTTGCAGCTTCTGATGAGTGGCGGAGCGTTGTCACGCCCGCTTCAGGCCCGGTCACAATGACAGGCCAACACGCTATCTCTTTCCAGAGCAGTATTTTCCTGACCTGAACTCCTGCTCTTCAACCCTTTGCATGGCTCCCTGCTTCAATGGGACACCCCGCAACCTCAAGTTGTAAAGGCCGAGAACCATGGAAATGCTTGCAGCGGGCGTTGCTGGTGGCCTTTTCGGCTGCTGAGCTGCATTCGCGTTTCGGTGTAAGCCGCATACAGCTGGGGCAGCTCATCGGGCTGGACGGCCAGTGCCCGTCATGCGATTTTTTGCTTGTCAAATTGTCCCAACAAGAGAATCATGACTGGAGTGGCCTAAGCATCTGCACCTTGAGGTTACAATCGAGAAAACTTCTTCTTCGATGGCGAGCGACCTGCCTGCATATGTTAGAGGTCTCACCAGTCCGTCGGAGACGATGGACAGCAGGATGGTGTGCCCCATGTGCCAAGTGTATGGTCTGTTCTGGTGCTGACTACCATGCTCTGGCAATCTCAGGCAAAGGATAAAGCGTGAGTACCAAGGTGGGCAGTTGTCTCCAGCGTCAGCTTTGTGCGCTACCAGTATGTAGCTGACACGTCATTTCAGCACCAGATTTTCTTCACAGCAAGGGAAAGGTGTGGAGGTGGGCAGTGGTGTGGAGCGGAATGGAACGGTTCAAGGCTTCGGTCTCACAGTTGCACTTTCGCAGCCCTGCGCTTCCACCGGCATTTACACTCGCACCATGCATGCACGCAGGCACACAGGCATGCACGCTAGCACGTGCGCACACGCAGCACGCGATTTCTCGCACGCGCATTCATGCACACGCAAGATGGCACAGCAGCACACTTATGAGTCACAGACGTTAAAATTTCGCTGAGCAAGCACAGGCGCAAACGGTGTCGCAAGTCCTCAAAGTCAGTGTTGATCCAGCACGGCTTCCGCCGTCCATGGCTTGCCTCACGTGTTGCCGAGAGCGCCCAAGTGCCAGGTCAGCTGATGCGAGTCAAGCAGTTCGAACTCTTCAGAGAAGACATACGTGATTTAATGGAGCTCACGGTTGCCAAAATGGACAACTACTTAATTGTGACTCGCCTTCAGGTGCTGAGCCGATGCATGACACGTCTCTCAGAACTTAACCGCCTTGAGTGCCTGAATGGAAACCGGGGCCTGGCCTGGCTAAGACGGCACAGCTGAGGTGAACACGATCCAGGCCAGGCACAAATGCCCTCTGCTATTCTTTCAGGGTGTCTTTCAGAGCAGCTGGCGAAGTCTACCCCGCAGATTGGTCTCGTCGTGGTGCTCTTCACCGAGGGACGTCCGCAACCTGGCGTGTCTCCTCCGTGGCTGCTCTTCTTGTGCCGCGGCTGCACTCTCTCCTCTCGGCCCTGGGCCCAACGGTGCCTCTCCCAAGCCGGCCTCGCATTCTCTGCCACTCTGCAATCACAATTTCTGCGGTCTCCTGAGCTGCAAAGGTGGGCAGCCACTGGAGTCGGTTCCATGATGCCCTTTGCCTGCAGTCATCTCGGACTGTACTCCGTGGAACAAAAGAAGGTGCGCTTTGAGATATCAGTGCAACCTGCCGGTTTGAGGTACATAACACTCTGCATCTGGTGACTCGGCGAAGACGTCAATCATTGACGTCCATCATTTACACAAACGTTTTGACACTATGGCTCCTTGAGTTTTCGAGGCTTGCGATGCATGCCTCAATCTGTTCCCACTCTTTCTGTGTGCGGATGCTGACGCCACTTGGCCGAGGGACTGCTTGAAAGAGTGTCTTGTTTGCTTCCACCTGAAAGTATTTGACGGCACTGGCTTCACCGCGCACATCCGTGAGGCAGCTGGTTCGTTTACCCATCCCCAGCAAGGACACTTGGGGAGTCACACCACAATGCTCAAGTGCATCCGTCGTAGAACGACATGTCAGGAGCAGATGGACGCAGCACGTGTGCTGGCGACAGACTTCGAGGGTGCTCAGACGAGGCGCAATCTGCCAAGAAGGTCCTCCAAGGCAGCTGGCAGCCGGATGGGCTGTTAGCTCAAGGAGACGTGCATGTGCCAAGAGACTGTGCTCGGTCGCAGGGAGATGTTCCGCGTACCGGTGGTAAAAGAGCAGCTCAAAAAGCCTCTCGGACTTGAACAAGACAAGATCCCGAAGTGATCCCACATAGGGCCCAGACGTCGAATGGACGGCAGAGGGCGGCTGCACATTCTTTCAACGGGTCGAAGAAATGACATGTGATCGAACTAGAGACGTTTCAGTGGACACCTTCACCCGACTTGGCTTGATTTTTACAACTTTTGAGGGTCCACCCTGATTGTTGCCGAAGTGTTCGACATGCCTTCCGGAAGCTGCATTTGCAAGCTGAGTAGAAGCGCATGGGAGAGAGAGTGCAACATGGGCTGCGTGCGAGGTTGCAAAGAATCGTAGATCAGGAAGCCTTCGAGGACAGGGTTGGCTCTTCCCGCAAGCGACATGCCCATTCGAGACCGTGGTCACCTCGTCTCGGTCTCGTGCAAAGTCGCTGTTGCAGGAAGACGCGGCAGACGCAAACGCAGACATTTCCAACGATGCCGCGGCAGAGGCAGAACCAAAGCATGCTGAATCAGTGCATTCAAGTCTTGTCGGCATGGCTGCACATGCAATGCACACGGATGCAGACTTGGTTGAAACAAGAAGAGCCTTTGGGCAGGAGACCATGCTGGACTCAGCGGGGCAGCCTGTGGCAACCGACACGCTCAGCCATGTGCAGCTCGGATTAACGTCAGGTGCAGGTGCTTTTGCTGGCATCTTCTTCCAGCCACGTCAAGGTTAAGACTTTTTATGGTGTGACCCTCTCAGATTGGCTTTGCAACTCAGGAAGCTTTACAGGAGGATGCAGGCCAACTGGCAAGCCTATGACGCAACTCCTCAGAATCAAAACCCCTCGCGTCATTTGTCATTTGGTTTCTTTGGATCATTCAGGGCAAATGCCATACCCAGGCATACGCGCGAGTGAGCATGGCCCTGGGCACCAATCAGTTCCTGCAGGCCGCGCGTTGTGGCGCGGGCTCTCTAGCGCGCATAGGACTGGTAGAAGAAAGAGTCATGCCGCCATGCCACAGCCTGTCTCGGCCTGTCCCCTGCACCATTCTGGCAGCAACTTGGCTACACCTGCCTCATCGGCTTCGTGTCCGAGAATGGTTCGGTGCTGCCTGGGATGTGTAGCCAGGCTGCACATTTGGGCCTTGCCGACGTTCAGTCCGTTTCATCGCTGCACATGTATGTTGCTTCTGTTTCCGCTGGTTCCGCCATCTCGAGCAAGGTTCGGTACTTATATTCAGCGTGTGTGCGGCACTTCTTGTCAGACTGGACCTTTATGTGCCGCGAGCTTGGCTTTGGGTTGGAAGGTGACCAGGCGGCGTGCCGCGACAAGCGGTGTGGAACTGCAGCAGCGCTGCGTTCACGCTTAGCAGCGGTCCAGTTGTGAGGTCGTCCTACTCGTTGATCTTGGCACTGGTCCTGAACACGTTTCTTGGCTGGACCCACGTGGGACAGTTCAGGCTTGCGGCCAGACATGGAAAATAAAAGACAAGGCTGCCACCTTTCATCACTGGCGTCTGCTTGATTCTTCACTCACTGATGCTCGGCTGCACGTTACACATCCCTCGAGCTGCCGTCAACTTCTCATCATGTGATAGAGAGAGACCTGAGGCAGAACACCTATTTGAGATCCTCAACTGCAGAGAGGAAAGACGAGGAACCTGTTCTTAGCATTGCAGTATTCTGTATGAAGTTTAACCCGCGTCGTTTAGCCGGCCTCCGCATGAAACCTCTTCGGGTGCATTCTGCCTTCTGCATTCCTAAATGACCTTGCCTTACACATCCGTGAATGGGGGCGAGACGGTGCCATCCGAGACCTTCTCGGTGACACGCTGGTACCTATACCAGTCTTCCTCCACATCATGTGGTCACTTGGCCAAGACGTGCCAGTTCAGCTCCGGAAGCCCACCTTGAATCAATGCCTACGAGGCTGTTGGTGCTGCTTATATGGGCGCAGGCATCCGGACTTGTGTAGCTCTTCCATGGATGACAGTGCTGTGTGTGAGATGAGGAACGTCATAATAACGAACACAGATCGCAGATCGGCCAAGATATCTGTGAATGTGACAGGGACTTTGTTGCTGAAACTACGTGCAAGGGCAAGACCATCAACGGCATTGCACTGCCCACCACCTTTCGGGCCGTGTTCGGACCTTACATGCTGTCGCACGGTGCAAGATGTCTTTTGGGCCACTTTGCCTCATTTGCCTCCAAGGCTTTACTTGGATGTGTTTGGCTGGCTCAGCTCGCGACGTCAGGAGGTGCGGGCCCTGGGTCTGTTTTCGGTTTTTGGGGGTCGCTGCAACCAGCATTCTGCGCCGTCACCGTCAGGAGATCTCCTGGACTCGTCAACAAAGCCATCGATCAGTAGAGGCAGAATGCATCAGAATGCATCAGTATGCAGTGGCAGCGACAGAATGATCTAGGGATCCAAATTGAATATCGAGTTGCTTGCTCTACCGGCGGAAATCGTATCCGTCCTTGCGGGGACGGTTCTCGGTTAAGGCACTTGCAGAGTTGCTGAGGGCGATGCCAATCCATCCCAACGAAGGGATCAGCCACAGATGTTGCAACATCCTTGAGCCAGATGCAAGCTTGGTTCCACCGGTTGAGACGGAAACAAATTTGCAGCTCTGGGGCCCTGGGGGCGTGACTCGAGGATTCAGGCTTTACCAGGAACCTCTGCCTCGGAGTTTCTGTCCTCAGAGGCTCTGTAACAGCCAGGAGCAGGAAGCTGCTGGAACGGGAGCCACGGCGTCCTTTCGCCTCAGCGTTGTCAGAGAAGAGGAGCTCCTGCAGTAGCTCTCATGCAGTGTAAGAAGAGTTAGACAAGAGTGCCTGCGACATGTCAGGAGCCGCTGCATTCTGAAAATGTTCGCGTGCCCTTCCTGCCGAATCCTGGTGCTGAAGAAGGAAGACGTGGACTTAAGACATCCCTAGCAGCTTGCCAAGACTTTGATGCCATGGGCGCAGAGGTGCCGTTCACTGCTCAAACTGCAGGCACGCCTCTGCCGGGAGTTGTGACTCGGCGGGATGTTCAGCCGAATCACGCCTCTGACCATACATGCCGAAATGCTCCGGAGGCTGAGAGAGGTACTTGTAGGCAGAGTAAGAGTAGCCTGGCTGCCGCGGGGGCAGCCGGACGACCTGAGGAAGGCGGAGCTGCACCGCGACCTCTGCTGCTTCGAGCAAGACGGGCTCTCGAGCCTCATGTCGGACTACGACAAGGAGGCCGAGTGGGCCGGGAGGCCGCCCTTCTCCTTCTCCCTTGCCATTTTGCTTCGGAGGAGGTGAAGGCGATGCGGCGTCTGATGGAGCGCTTGGACGGGAAGCTTCAGGAGGCCGCCCCAGAGCCGATGGAGGCCAGGCCGCCAGACCCTGCCTTCCTAGCTAGAGTCTGATTCACCGCGACTTGCGAAGGTCACTCTGCCGTCACAAGCAGATTCTGCACCTTGAAAGCAGAAGCCGCGCTTGGGCGAGGCCATGCTTGGCATTGTTGCAAGGTCTGGTTGAAGCTCGAATGGAACACGGCTGGCCATGGCATGGCCTTCTATCGCCGAGTGGACTCCGAGGCCTTTGTTAAAAGCGTTGCCCACCGTTTCTGTTTCCAACCGTGTGAACAAGAGCACCAACTGCTGAGATTCAGGACACCAGCATAGTCTGGACGGAGCCGCCGGCCCCGGCGAAAATCCTCGAGATGAACGAAGTCAGGCCTGTCCCACGTGGAGAGGGGACGGGTGACGGGTGGTTGAAAGTTGAAAGTCTGGACGTGGCTTTGCGCCGAAGGCAGAGGATCGGCGCTTTGGAGGCCAAGGCGAGGACGGGAGCAGAGCTCCCAGCAGAGCCCAGAGCCCAGAGCCGTGGAGTGAGGTCCAGATGCTCGCGTCGCAGTTCCCAGCTCGGGAAGAAGAGGCGCGCGCGCGCGCGCGCTTTTTTCTGAGCTCCGCTGTCCGCTGAAAGACGACACACTTGGAGGACTCCATCGCTTCCGTCGCTTCTTCCTCGTCCTGCTCCGTGGCGCCTGAGCATTCAAGGCCGGAGGGGAGGAGCACAGGAGCACTAAGCCCGCTAGTAAGAGCACAGACTTGAGAAGTTACACGCATGCAGAAACAGAGCCTGGATGGAGCGAAGTGAGGTCTCCAGCAAGAGCCGGCTGAACACAGCAAAACAGAGCCATAGAGGCTAGACAGAGTGGTCTTCGAGAGTGACCACGCAACAGTGCCGCAACAGATCTGGCGAAGCTCTCCGGAAGTGCAAGCATGCTTGTAGCAGCCCTGGCACGATCCGACAGCGGCTCACCTTTGTGACCTTTCAGCCTGGGAATTCTACTCGTCCTCGCAAGTCCGCTTACCCTTGCAGCTTGAAGCAGCAATGCCTAGTGATGTCGCTCCAGGCCAGTTGGCTCTGCAAGTTCGACAACGTCCGGCGAGGTCCCGGAGAGTCGGGCTTCGATGTTGCTTCGATCGCTTGGGTCGGGTCGCCAGGTAGACTCTCTCTGGCACGGGGCGTGCCTCAACGGAATTGACTCTTTCAGGGTCCAGGCCGGACTTGTCCCGAGTCCCAGTGTCACCTCAGGCCGGACTTGGAAGCTGGCGGCCCGTCCTCGGCACAGGACACACCGCAACGTCATGCAACGCCGCAATGCGCACGTCTACAGCCCCGTGTCCCATGCAGGAGACACGCTTCGCTGGCAGAATCTCGATTTCATCATTCCGTCTCTTCTGTGGCGAGTATTGTAGAACCTTTCAATAGTGGCATGGCGCCGTCCTGACTTGAGCCTGGTAAAGACTACTTCGATCTGGTGGACGTGGCATGCAGATCGGGTGCATCCATTCACCAGTGAGCATACATATTTTCACGAAAAACACACGCACATCAAGCAGTGATCATGCAGACCCCGGTCGGTTTTTGTCGTGCACAAACTCATACTCAGACTTGTTGGGCTACTCCGAGGTGACGGAGCCGTGCAGCTCACCGAATCGGCAGCTGCACTTAATGAGTCATGTATAGTCATGTTCGAGCTGAGATGGTTGCACTTCGTGGACGTAGACGTTCTAGTTTACAGTATGACTTCGAGAACTGTCGAGAAACATGGAGGGTTTGTCCTACGGAATCATGGCCTGCGAGCAGAGATTGTCGTCCGAAGCAGTATACCTGCCCTAAGATTCCCACAGGGTCACGAAATCTCGTCGAGCCGTTGCTTGCATGTGGGACCGCTGGCATACTCGGCATACTCTGGAGATTCGGGTGTTTTTTCTCAGAGGCACGGGCATGGCATGATGGCATGAGAATTGGGCGTGCAGCTGCAGAGATGCTGCTTAGAATCAAGGAAGTTCGCCAACGCTCCTTCCGACCAAACGAGGCTGTCACATTGTCAATTTGTAGCTTGGCATAAACGCAGTACTCAAGCTGGCAAAGCAAGGCGGCAGCTGGAGGCTTCCATCCACATCGGGTACCTGAAAGTCGTGGTGAGCGTGACAGGCTGCAGCCTCTGCTACCATGGAGACATTCCATGCTGCATGAGCCAATGTTGCCGGCGGCACGGCCCTCCAGGCACAAAGAGCCTGGACGTTTGCCTTGGAGCACTGTTCAGCAAGGCAGCCTTGTCCTGATCGCGGCCTGGTGTGCCCTGCTCATGCTTTTGAGATCGTCACCGCAACTTAGACTTTACACCGTGATTGCGGTTGAGGTGCAGGATTCGTGTGGACGGTGTTGCGGCTGCTGACTGACGTGGTCGACATCCTGCTGCTCGATGGCAGCGAGCGTGCGTTCTTCGCAAGCCGTCTCCGGCGCCGTCCCAGGAAGCCACCGAGACCTGTGCCGCACCCGGATCTGGATCTTGTCTTTGCCGGGCCATGGCCGCAGTTCTTCGAGCCTGAAGGCCTTCCTGCAGGGCCGCGACAGTCATGACGCTGACATGTCACGACGCTACTGTGATCAGGGATGTCGTGCCAGATGGACGGTTCTGAGCCGATGTTCTGGCTCGCGGAGAAATACACTGTTGGGGGCTTGGAAACGGAGCCGAGCCCTGCGTGTTTTGTTCACCTGCTGAGATTGTTTTCCCGAAAGGTTCATCAGCTGGTCGTCAACCAGAGCTGGACCGTTCACACCAGTCCTCAGGAGGCATGACTTCGCTCAAGTAGCCTCACCGACAAGCCAAACCCTTTTCGAGAACATCAGCGTGAGAGTCTTAGGGTGAGGGATTGAAAAGACCCGGTCTACTCGCTTGAGGCGACTGTTTTCGCAAATGGGAAGACCTGGGAGTGGAGACTGCAGACTCAGCAAGCAGTCCTTGCTTGACCTGCAGAGTAGCGCCGACGGTGAACCGCATGGCTCTGGAAGACAGGAACTCGCGTCACGCCCCAGAGATCGAAATAGTGCAAACTGCACAAAAGCCGGTTGATCAGGGATTTTACATCTCAACACCCACTGAAACATCCCGGCCAACTAAGGGGGAGCCTCACGGAAGCAGGCAGAAAAGCTGAAATAATTTTTCGGGTGGCAAGTAACCCGTGCGAGAAGTTCTGTTGGATCAAACCAAATCACGATTTGTTACTGATGGCCAGCTGAATTGAGGGGTCCGACCTCTTTCAGGATTGTCTGCGTTTCATCTTCGTTTCTGTGTTCCAAAACTTCAACTTCGAGCATGTTTCAGCTTGCATTCCTCTTCTGTAAGCGAGAGCGAAAGTGCGCGGGGCGAAAAGAAGAACAAGAAGAACCCGAGGTGTTGAACTGGAGCTGAAAGCAGTTGTGCGCACGTGTGATGTCGCGACAGGACAGGGGAGCCTTGCACTAGAAGAGCCCAGCACATGCACGCTTGTAGAGGCAGCATGCTTGTCACAAGCACCAGAGCGACTTGTCTGCAGATGTCGGCCGGTGAATGTTCAAGATGGCCTAGCGTACAAAGCTCCGATCAGAGTTCACATTGCGGCAAGGTTTCACTCCTCTGGGCTGCGTGGAATTTCCCTGCGATGTGCAAATGTGGCTCGCAAGGAGGCGCGGCCCCGTGCACCTGGGTACCTGTGAGTCTCCGTGCTGTTTTGATGTGTAACACACTCGTGAGTGTAGGAACAAGCAGCCGCGTTCGACCGACGAATCATTCCGCTCGAACACCCTGGATTTTTGTTTGCTCTCTTTTCTTCACCTGCGTCGTCGATCATTTCTTCCGGCGCCGCCTCTTCGCCTGCTGCTGCCACTGTGGCTGCAGCTTCGCCAAGGCGGCGGTCTTCGACGACTTGGGCGGCCCGACGCCTACGGCGGCGTCACTGGCGACCAGAACGGCGGCTTTGATGACACCGCTGGACCGCTCAGTCGGAGGCACGGGAGCGCATCCGACCCCGCATGACAGGCGCAGGGTTCCTGGGGCATGAGCCCATTCAGCGATTGGTCCAGACGTCAAACATTGTCTTCGACTTGGCGACGTTCTTGGACACGCACACCCGCCCGGGAGTTGCGGGCTGTGCATGTTTGGCGTTCGACGCCCTCCTCGCCGACATCGCCTTCGAGGTCCAAGTCATTCCACGTCCTGTGCGAGGACGGGACGACGACGCGGCGATTCGTCGTCCGAGTCCTCGTCCGACTCGCAGGCCCTTACCCGCCTTGTTGGATGGTGATCGAGACTATCCCGGGCTCTGGCAGCATCGCAAAAGGCGGCTGAGGCACACCGAATAAAAGCTGCTGTGGCTTCGGTGCCTATCAGCAACCATGACAGTGATGGTGAGCCCGTCTGGAGGGCTACCTCGCCGAGTGGGATGATCCGAGGCGGATCCTTCTGCCCCGCCATGCAGACCTTCTTCGCCGACCTTCAATTCCCGCTGAGGGCGGCCTTGCTGGCACCCCACCGCCTGCACGACAGGGCTAAGCCACGGATTATTCCGTGGCCGGGGAAGGTCTCCGCACCTTCCCCGGTTCCCTAAGCCGATGCCTTCTTCCTGGACGGGACGTCCGGAAGAAGGGCCCTTCATCTACGTCGTGGCGCCAGGAGGTTGCCGCCACATTGGATGGAGTTCATCGACTGTGTTGTTGGCCAAATCGCCCTCAGCAAGCGCTGCGGCAAAGGCCCAAGCCTCAATAGCATATTGGCGGCATTTGGGCCTTGCCTCGGACACGGCGTGGTGTCCCGACTTCTACTGCGTCCCATCTTCGGCAGGCGTCTCCGGTGCCGTGTCGCGGGGGGACGACTCCCGCGCTCGCCGTGAGGGCTGGACACGCGTCCGCGCCCCGGTTGACGAGGTTATGACGATTCTCGGCGGGGCGACCACCGACATCGACTTCGCCTGCCAATGGGCGCCAAAACTGTTTTTTGACCTTGCTTTTGATAGGTGTGCATGCCGGGCGGGCGCAGAAGTGCCCACCCCGGCACCGGTTTAACGGGGCGGTGCGTCCGGCCGGGCGGTGTTCGCGCTTCGACCAAAAAGGTGCGCCGCCACCGTTAGTAGGCTCTGGCTAACATGTCGTTAGTGTGCTGCGTGTTCCTCCCTCCAGGACCTTCTCAACTCGTTTGCTCGTGCTGTTGGCAATCAAATTTCAAAGATTTCTGGCCGGCAACGATGGTACCCCCGGAACCTTTTGCGAGGCTTGTCTCCCGATGCTGGTGGGTGCGGACGGCACCGTCCTGCTTTGCAACCACACCATGCAAAGGCCAACATCGTTTCGCTGTCAGGAAGCGGTTTTGATTTTGAGCTTTTGGATGCTTTGGGTACAGCAGGCCTCACATGGGTTGGGGTGTCATCTCACAGGCTGTACTTGCACGGCGATGTTTCCCACGTGGCCGCATCCGGCGATGCTTCCGGGCTGTGGGCGAAGAGGTCGAAGGATGCCTAAGACTCAGCAGCTGCAATTCAGAAGCATCTTGTACTGCGCGCTCTCGTGCGCTGCATTGATCCTCTCAGTTGTCTGCCGGCCCAGCATTTTATCGGCCACTCGACAGCGGCTCGGGACTTAAAGAGATGTTGTTGCGTGCTGCTGGAATTCAGTTTCGAGTCGCTCAGGAAATCAATCTGACCTATCTGTTGCAGAGTACGTCTTCCCCTGAGGGTGCTGGAGCTGGGTACCCCTGTTCCGTAAATCGGGCATTGCAAGGTCTCCACCGTTGAGCTAGGCCAGCAGCCCGTCGCCAGAAATCAGCACTGGATGGATACGCTGGAGGCATCGCCAGCTTCTGCACATGGATTCCTCAACAGTGTCCGCTTCCTGCCCACACCATGAGAAGAACGGATGTTTCTCACGAGCCGAATATAGGTTACGTCTTTGATCTACACCGCTCGCTAAGTGCAAAACAGTGTGTGAGAGCAGCATCTTCAGCCAAGGTTTGCTCCATGCCCGAAGCAAGCTAGACCGAATGGGTAGGGCAAGACTGAACACTCTCTGTTAACACCCAAAGCCCCCTAAACCAGATTGTCCTTGCTTCCTGGTGTGAGGATGGTGGCCTGCTGGCTCTCAGTGATTTAGGACTGTTTCGGAGCATGCCACAGGTTTGAGATGCGGCAGATATCATCGTCCAGCTGGTGGTGGTGCTGGTGGTGGTGGTGGTGGTGGTGGTGGTAGCGGTAGTGGCAGTGGCAGAGGCAGTGCCGGTGGCGGTGGCGGTAGTAGTACTTGTAGCATTTGTAGTATCAGTAGTAGTATCAGTAGTAGTATCAGTAGTAGTATCAGTAGTACTAGTAGCAGCTGCAGCAGCAGCAGCAGCAGGAGTAGGAGTAGTAGGAGTAGTAGTAGTAGTAGTAGTAGTAGTAGTAGTAGTAGTAGTAGTAGTAGTAGTAGTAGTAGTAGTAGTAGTAGTAGTAGTATATAGTAGTAGTATATAGAATATAGTAGTAGTAGTAGTAGTAGTAGTAGTAGTAGTAGTAGTAGTAGTAGCAGCAGTAGTAGCAGTAGCAGTGGTAACAGTAGTAGTAGTAGTAGTAGTAGTAGTAGTAGTAGTAGCAGTAGCAGTAGCAGTAGCAGTAGCAGCAGTAGTAGTAGCAGTAGCAGTAGCAGTAGCAGTAGTAGTAGTAGTAGTAGTAGTAGTAGCAGTAGCAGTAGCAGTAGCAGTAGCAGTAGCAATAGCAGTAGCAGTAGCAGTAGTAGAAGTAGCAGGAGCAGTAGTAGAAGTAGCAGGAGGAGTAGTAGAAGGAGTAGTAGAAGTACTACCACACTACTTCCAACGCTGCTACCAGTACCCATAGCAGTTTTACCGATACTAATGCTAGTACGGATACTTGCACTCATACTAACACTATCACTAATGCCGATACCAATCCGGATACGCATACGACTACCACTTCTAAGACTAATACCAATTCTTCTGCGCTACTACTAATTCTAATGCTAATGACTAATACCAATACTCATACTCATACTAGCACTAATGCTACTACCAGCACCATTACGAATACGAATACTATTACTGATGCTGATACTGGTACTGACGACGACTACCACTACAATCGCAATCACCACTAATACGATTACAGAACGCTTCGAGTTCGAGTACTCACCGTCTCACTAGTGCTGCAACGAGTAGTACCAAGATGACCCGACGCTGTGAGGAGTCCTCCATGCATGGAGGCCAGTCGCCAACTCGGCATCGTGGCTTCCATCAGGCGACTCGGCGAAGCATCAACATGAATCGGGTCGCTGGACGCACACGGCACGTGGCCATGGGAGCAGGCTGGTTCTTCGACCTGCCCGAACTGGGGCTAAGGCACAGTTTGTGCACGCGGTGTAGGCTTTCCAAGAAGTAAGAGCAGCGATCGTGTTGGCGAATTCTTGAGAGAGGTGGCGGGGCCTCTGTACAGTGGGGACGACAGCCTTTCTGTTGGGAAAGAGTCCCGCAGCAGGCCGGTCGCAGTTTCCGCCTTCGAGACTTGTTTGCTTGAAGCCGACGCGCGAGGCCGAGTGGAGCTCTGGAAGATGCAGCTGCCGTCCTGAGCAAACGTTGACTTTGAGTTTGGCCTGGATGGTTTGTGCATGGCAACGTTGTGGCGCAACGGCCTGAATTCCAGGCTGCACCATCCAGCAGCACGCAACACGCGTGCCTGTCCATAGAAAGTTTCCATAGTCCCACGACTTACAACCGCCGCCGTCGCATTGCTTCAAGTCAAAAATCGCTCGATAGATGCTGCTATGGTGATGAGTAATTATGCCTGCGTGCCGAGCTGTCCATGATCTCGCCACGGCCCGGAAGATGCAAAGTTTGTCAGGCTCCGTGCTTGGGAGTGTGGTTTAGGAGTGGTCTGGGGCGTCCCCTTGGAGTGGTCTGGGGAGTGTGTTTTGGGGAGGAGGGGTGGTTTTGGAGAGGTCTCCGAAGAATCCTGTGACATCTTGAGAAAGGTCATGGTCTGCGCGTGCTCCTTCACTGTTTGGGTCGACGCTGGTAACCGCTGGTACAAGCATAATTCGATTGTTAAAGTTATTGGGCTGTTCCCATTTGGATCCCACTATTGGGAGTCCACTCGCCATGCAGGACCTGTGCAGGCACGCAAGGACCACAGTGACAAGGCAATTAATGCCAGAAAGAACAGAAACTGTCAATGGCGGGCGTTTCCGGTGTTTGTTTTCAATCGTGTTTAGAGAAGGGCAAGCTCCGAGGTTGGATGTGATCGATCATGGATGTTTGTGCAGATGGCACCACAGACAAGCTCAGAGTCAAGTCTTCGCAGCCCAAAGTGCACCAGCAAACGGAACAAGCTCTTGGGCGAGTCCTCACAATCGGTCCAGATTTCTTCAACCGAAAACGATCTCAACCTAAGGCTTTGCCCTGAGGCATCGTATATGATCTGCTTTGGAGTTCTGGCCCTGTCAGGGTTTGGGGGAGTGCGTTCAGAAAATGTCTACTCAGCGCCTGGGCGGCAATATTTTGATAGCTTGCCAGAGAAGCAACACGGTGAACATTTACACTAAAGTTGGGCACTTGGAGGTAGCACGGAAAGCCCCACCCAAATCCCAACCGGAAGCGGTAAGGTCGAAGCTGCGTTTCACTGAACCCAATGCCCAATGCCAACCCCAAGCTGGAAGCCCTGAAGCAAACCAAACGTCGACAACCCGAAGGATTGAGATCCGTGAGGAGCGCCCTCATTCCAACTTTTTGCGGGAGGCGGAGAACCCAAATGACAGAACGCAACTTGCACCGGAAGCCGCGAACCTAAGAAGCCATGAGCCCAACCCGAACCCCGAACCAAAAGCCGAAACCAAACCCTAAACCCGAATCTTCAAAGCCGTTAGCTTAAGCCGGAAACGTTGAGGAGTGAACCCAACATTAAGATGCGCCGGTGCAACAGTAAGAGCCGAGACCACACAAAGCAAGAGCACGGTTGTGATTTGCAGGTTCCCAAAGAATCCGGGAGTGCGTGGAGCAAAGGTCGGGGCGTCAGTGTTAGCAGTGACTAACTGTTTAGAGCATCAAAATGTGAGTTGGCGAATGAGTCCCAAAACGCATGTGCCAGCTGTTGGCCTCCTGTCACCATGCTGTTCTTGAGCAGATGACCATCTTTTGATTGCTGTGCATGCTTTGCTGTTGCTGTGCTCGAGCGGGTCTTTCGCGCCGAGCCCATTCGTCGATCACCAACCGGGACATTCATCAGGCGATGTCACTTCGTCAGCAAGTCTACTTTGTAAGATGAAATGGTAACCGGTGCCATCCACAAACGACGAGGCGGAGGACGAGGAGGAGCAGGAGATTGTTGCGTTTGTAGTCAATAGTCGTTGCTTTGTGTGCAGAGGCAGCAGAGGAAGTAGAAGTAGACGTACTAGAGCAGCAAGTGGCAGTGGCGGTTGCAGTGGCTGGTTGCACTGGTAGCGGTAGCGGTAGCGATACCGGTACCAGTAGGGTAGTGGTCGTGGTCGTGGTGGCGGTGGCAGTGGCAGTGGTAGTGGGAGTGGTAATGGTACTGAAAGTGGTGGTAGTAGACGCGCACAACGCATAGACACTTAGACAAAACTTGTTTTTAATACTATCTGCCCTGGGGCCGAGCGTCGCATGCTTTGCAGCCCAGGTCAAAGATTACGAATGTCCTTTGTGCCTTTGGGCTTATCACGGCCCTTGGTCTTGGCTTCGTGGTGCCACGCCATGCAGTGGGAAAGCCTTCCGCCTTGTCCCATGCAACAGTGGACGCACGAGTACAGAGTGCAAACCTCACAAGAGGCACTGCTAGATTAAGGTTTCATGCCGAGTTAGTTGCATAGAAACACAACGCAGAGCAGACTTTCTCTCCCACCCTGTCATGACAGGCTCCACTGCCATGTACGGTGTTGCAGTTCTGGCTACTGCAGCAGCTGGACTCGTAGCCCGTGCCAAGCGATCCAGAGTTGCTGCACGATCACAGCCGTCGCATGGCAGAAAGTTCGAATACTCCATGCAGAAGGATTCATATGCCGATTACGAGTTCATCAACGAGGTCGGTCGCTTGGACTGTCTTGGGATTGGTGAACAGCTTCGGCGCATGTCATCTTTTCGAGATTTTTCGAAACATTGATTCAGCAAACGATGATGAGCTCCTTGGGTTGAGTCTTGGATGCCTCCTTTTCAAAACTGACGAGCCCTCGTGACAATCTCGCAGTTGTTGACGTTCTTGATCTTTGATTCCGGAGAAGCCTAGGCTACTTGCCCGATGGCACGCCGTTGAACAAGGCCGGCAATGCCATCAACCATCCCGAGACCATCGGACCGGATCCACACACGCCGGGATCGCCACTGCCTCGGGCCATCTTCACCAACTCCGTTGGCTACCTCCCTGATGGAACACCTCTCAATGCAGCAGGCAACGCCGTGAACCATCCTGAGACCATGCAGCCGGATACACACATTCCCGGTTCGCCTTTGCCCCCGTCCTTCTACGCTGCCGACACGGGCTACCTGGTGGACGGCACGGACATGTCCGTGGCCGGCAACCTCTCTGTTCAAGGCGGGGCACCTGCGGCTGCACCAGTTGCTGCGCCTGCACCTGGCGCAGCAGCTCCTGCCGCCATGCCTGGCATGTCGGTCTCAATGCAAGAGGTGGAAAGTGCCCAGAAAGCCTGGGGAGATGCTATCAGAAACATTTCAAGGACCTGTATGCCTATATCCGAACCCTCAAAACTCTGAGCCCATTCCATCGTGCAAGAAAGAATCTAAAGGCCGCTGCGCAATGTCGATGCATCCTAGAGTTCTAGAGTTCAAAGCTCCAGGACCTACTTGGACGGCGGGGATTATGTGGCGGTGGCCGCAAACGCAGCAGGAGAGCTTTACGGATATGGCCACGGAAATGTGCTTTTCAAGCCGACGAAAGCTTCGGATGTTCAATTCCGGCCGGAGGCGGGCCAGGCCATGTCCTACTTCGTAGGCGGCGACGCAGTGGAAGGTGGAATTTCTGAAGACCACGGCTTTGCAATCAACGGCGGCAAGGGTTGGTCTGATGTCGTCTTCAACAACCACCAGATCGACTTGAACGGTAATGTTGCCATTGCGATGGGCAACTATTGCTTCACTTCTGCATCAGACGGCAGCATCAGCAAGGTGGAATACACTTTCGGTTACAAGAAATGCCAGGACATCGGGAGTCTCTGAAAAAAGCATTGAATTGCCGGCACATAGCAGTAGATAGAGGAGCCGCATGAGAAAAATACATAAATGTGACCGAAATGTCGAGCATGATTACGAGATGACTTAATCAGCGGAGAACCGGAGACAGCAACCATCAAGAAACAGAAGGACCTAGAGGAGCATGGCAGGAACCAACAAGATACTCCGGGAGATATCAGGCAATACACAAAAGTTAAAACCAGGTTTGATCGCCGAATGACCGCACATGTCGGAGACGTCAGGAAACGAACCGATGTCAGAGTATTGGGAGAGGGCTAACAAAGCAGCATATTCAATACCGAGGAAACAGTAGGATCTGCCAGGCTGCTAATCACTGTGAATTATGAACACTAAAGCATCAAGGTATGCTTCAGAAACCGTAGGATTTCTTGCAACTGAGTTTGTGCGCTATAAACTTTTCTGTGCTATTTACACCGCTTCAACACTGAAGCTTGAAATTTCTTTGGCCTATGACGTAGGCAAGTATTAATAACTTGAAGCCCGATGCCAAGGAACCGCCAGTGACTAATGATGATAAATGAACTTTAATGGACGGCGACAAGGCAGAATACAGGCTGGCCGGTAGACAAGGAATCGGGGAGTGTGTTGAGTGCGGAGCAAAACTGTCATCTAAAGGAATTCCTTCGAGGCCCTTGTACAACCACTCGGTGCCCCTGCCTCCTTAAATGGGAACTTGATGCCAGGATGGCAAAGTTCGTATTTGCCTTCACCACTCATCGGTTCCATACCAGGGAGCCGGCTTGTCAGTCACAATGGAAGAGGTGAAGGCTGCCCAGAGAGCGTGGGCAGATGCGATCAAAAACATTTCGAAAGCATATTTGGATGGGGACGATTATGTGGCAGTGGCCACTCGTGCAGCCGGCGAACTGTATGGTTATGGCCACGGTAATGTCCTCTTCAAGCCAACCAAGGCCAAGGACATGCAGTTCCGCCCGGAAGCAAGCCAGGCGTTGTCCTACTTTGTGGGGGCTGACGCCGTGACGGGTGGCATTTCCGAGGACCACGGCTTCGCAATCAATGGCGGCAAAGGTTGGTCAGATGTGCTGTTTGACAACCACCAGATCGACTTGAATGGGAATGTTGCCATTGCCATGGGCAACTACTTCTTTGCCTCTGCCGAGGATGGAAGCATCAGCAAGGTGGAATATACGTTCGGGTACAAGAAGTGCCAGGACATCGGGCGTCCCTGAAAAAGCACGGTCGTGTGAAAGTTGTGTGGGGTTTCTTCAGACGTTCTTGTCGCCCATTCTGCAGCTCATCCCTGTCAGGATGGTCAGGTGCGCGTTTGTCTCCACCACTCGTCATTGCCTTATCAGGGTTCTCCAACACCCGAGGCTCTCAAACAAGCAAATCTGCATGGATGAGTTCCATGTCCGCTTCCGACAATGCAGTGCGCTAAGTGTCGGTGATACAGGGCACTCGGTGGCACTAGATAGGTCACATGCCGTGACAAAGAGTCAGGCATGCGGAGTGAGGAAAGGTTTGGAGCTGCTCCATTGCGGTGTTGCTGTCATATGGCTTATTCAAGCTGGCAGCGACACAGTGCGTCGCGACTCCTGATTCCTTTGGCCGGTGGGCATTTGTAAGAGCGGAGCTCGATCGCATGCCAAAGGCCAACAGTTCCTCCTCATGTTTCGATTAAAGAAGCCACAGTCGGAACTGTGTACGCCTGTACGTTTAACTTCGTCTGAACATGTCTATGGGAAAGACATATGCATGTATGCTCACATCGAGACATGACGTGCAACACAGTTCAAACGGCACCGAGAAGACTGTAGCTATGCGGAATAGCAATCGAACAGGAGCGAATCAATGACTAAATCAAGGACTGAACTTATTCAGTAAACGAGTAGGAAAGCGTGCAATGTAACAAACACTGACGCACATACATGTATGTACTGTATATGGCTATTATGCATGTAGTATGTATACTTCATGTATTTGTACATTCATGTGTTTACCGGTGTTCATGTCATGTGTATCATTGTGAATGTGTATGTCTAGATGTATGTCATATATGTATAAATACAGGTATATAGATGCAAGATGTATCTATGTATACATGTACCAAGATACATTGAATAGTCATAAATCTGTCAGTGTGTATATATGTAAGGACGCACTGTATACAGGTACAGTGTATGTATGTATATGTATCTTATATATATATATATATATATGTATGTATATATGTCTGTATATATGTACGTATATGTATATATGTAGATATGTATATTGTATATGTAGATATTCAGATGTGTATACATATATAAGTATGTATGTATATATGTATATATATATATAGATATATATGTAAAAATGTGCTTATGTAAAAAAAGGATATATAGGTACACACACATATATATATATATATGTATTTACGTACGTATGTATATATGCATTTGTATGTGTATATATATATATATATATATATACATGCATATGTATACGCATATGCAGTCGTGTTTGTCTGTATATATGCATATATGTACAGATGCGTGTATGTATATACACTTTTGTATGTGTGTGTGAATGTGTATACATGTAAAAATGTATATATGTGCATAGGTACATATGTATGCGGGTATGTATACCTGTACGTATAGGTGTACGTGTACGTATGTGTTATGTGTACGAACATCTGTATGTATGTGTTGATGCATGTATGATACATGTATGTATGTTTGTACAGTTCTGTATATAAGCAAATCACTTTCTAAGTCTATACCCGTACCATTATCTATATCTACACCTCTCTCCCGGCATATATACATATATATATATATATATATGGTCACCCCCCCCCCGTTGACAGACCATGCCCTTTCGTGCATGGTCTGTGATCGGGGGGAGGGGGCACTCAGATTTCAAAAACTCAATTCCAAAGTTTCCAAAATTCTCTCCCCTAGCTTTACGGATTTTCCAAAATTTCGAATATCTTCAAAATTTCCAAAAAGTCCGCCCTTATGTTTTGGAAAAATCCTGTCGACTATAGGTCGGGAAATTTTGGAAATTTTGGAAATTTAGGAAATTTAGGAAATTTTGGAAATTTTTGGAAATTTTGGAATTTTTGGAAATTTTGGAAATCCGGAAAGTTAGGGGAGAGAATTTTGGAAATTTCGGAAATTCTGTAAATTTTGGAATTTTTGGAAATTTTGGAAATTTCGGAAACTTCGGAAATTTTGGAACTGATTTTCAATGGGCTGATTGTGACCCATCGGATGACAGACCATGCACTACGACTCACTTGCAAAGGCAAGGTCTGTTTAGACGATTGTCAGTGTTTATATATATATATATATATTTAAAAAAGAGATGGTACTCCTACGAATACTATTACCAATACTAATACTGACATTGATCATTTGCTGACTGCCCAAGCTAATACCAGCATTAACGCTAATATTTACACTTTTTTAAGCCAATACGAATAGGCACCATACAAATACTAATAACGATTAATACTGACGTTCATACTCCTACGCATATCAATAATTATGCCCGTATTGGTAGTAGTGTATTTTCATACCAATACTCATACACACCTGCATATACCAATGTACATAAATATACATACCACTAGATTAAAGTACAAATACATTAGCTCATGCATGTATTTATCTGTTAGTATTTTCATGTAATCAGGAGTAATACTAATATAAGACAAACGTTCATGCAAATACATAACCTCATTTTAATATTAGCACTAGCACTAGCACTATTACTAATACCAATCACACTGTTTATACTAACACCAAGATTTACATAAGTATTGATACTCCTACGGATACTACTGCGTATACTCTTATGCTGTTAACAATAATGCTGTCACCAATACTAATACTGACATTGATAACTTGTTGAATATTCAAGATAATGCCAGTATTAATACCATTGTTAACACTTATACTAAGGCTAATGCGACTGCGGATAATCCTAATACGAATATTAACATTAATACTCCTACGAATACCAATAGTCATATTCATATTGATGTGAAGACTAATACCATTACAAAAAACACGTGTATATGCTAATGCACACCAGAACACATACCATTATCATTTTTGCCGATATGTATCAATGCATTCATGTACTGATGTTTTAGGACAAGCATATTGTGAAAGTTCCCAGCTGTGCTGAGCTGTTGTCTTTAGCGCTTGGTTCCAGAGCGACCGGCAAGTCCCGAAGCTTTTAGGCCCGAGACCAGAGGGGCCCCCAGGACATAGCAGCGAGCTGTGAGAAAAGGACGGTTCGAGCCATCGAGTCTTGGCGATCGGGAGGGGCTTGTGAGCGTTGCCACTGTCAATCGACAGTGGTAGCGGAGCCCTCGGTGAGCTAAGTGGCTTGCGCTGTGACTTTGAAGACCATCTTAGAAGATCCAGAGAGAGTGAGGGCGACAGTGGCACTGGGGCTTACTGATGCCTTCTCCAGGGGATGGCTCGGCAGCCGCCGAGACCGAGGACGGCGGCCCAACATTTCGTGATCGAGAGCCTCCGCCGTTTTACGACGGAGAAGATCCCGAGAGGACTTTCAAGCCGTGGTTGCGCGAGTTGGAGCTGTGGGCCTATGACACAGAGGTGCCGAAGGCGAAGCATGGAACAAGAATGCTCCGGCGATTGGGTGGGGTTGCTAAGGCGGCGGCCAATGAGTTGGAGACCTCGGAGATTTTGGGCGAGAAGGGCAAGGACAATATTGTCAAGAAGCTGCAGGAGTACTTCGCTCCCCACCTGGAGACCACGATGCCGAAGGCCTTCGAGAGGGCAATCTATGGCGAGAGCCGCGGGCCCAAGGAGACGCTTGGAGAGTACATCATCCGCATGGACGCGGCCTTTCGGAGCTTGAAGGACGAGGGGGTTGAGCTACCATCGCAGGCCCGGGGATACGTCATGTACCGGCAAGCTCGCCTTAGTGCGGTGCAGGAGGATCAGCTTACGACTTGGACCGAGGGCAAGTTCGACCGGGATAGTGTCATTAAGGCGCTGCGCAAGTTGGACAAGGTCCGGGAGCAGGCGGGGACCGCGAAGAGGAGCACCTACTTCGGGGACGAGCCGGGCACCGAGGATGCCGGCGATGACGAGGACTCCGATTATGACGAGGAGTACGTGTACTTGCAGCAGGGCGACTTGCAAGATGTGTATGACGAGGCGGAGGTCCAGCAGGCACTCGCTACTTATCAGCAGGTTCGGAAGGCACTCCAGGACCAGAAGAACGCCCGGAAGTTTTATCCATTCGAGCGCCCCAAGGGCAAAGGCGAGGGCAAGGGCAAGGGCGGGGGCAAGCACGGTGTCAAGGTCCACATCAGCATGCTGAAGTTGCGCACGAAGTGCGCGAAGTGCGAGTGCGTCAATCCGCCTGACGGCTATCGTAAACCTGGGGGTCCCGCCACCGGAGCTGCAGCAGGTCAGACAGGCGGATCGAGCAGTGCCGGCAGCAAGGTTGGCTTCTACCAGGCGAGTGACGACGGCGGCTCCGCAACCTTTTGGGAACAAAAGCCGACCTTGGGTGATTTCATTCGTGCGGGTCGGGGCAATCGCTGCTGCAGGGAGCCAGGGAGCGAGCGAGAGAGTGTCGGAGTGAGTCGTGAGCCGCAGGTTCCACCTGTTATCCAAACCCAGCCCGACTTGAGCTTCAGCGGGGTGACCACTCAATCTCACCATGGCATTGTAGACAGTGCTGCGCAGGACGGGGTCATCGGGAAAGTGGCCCTCGAAAGGCTAAAGTGCGAATTGAAGAATCGAGGCCTCAAGCCTCGGTGGTGTGACAGAGTGGTGCCCACCAAAGGCATAGGCGGTGAGGCTCGAAGCGTCGGTGTGCGCGAGCTTCCGCTGGGGTTTGGAGGTGTACATGGGCTATTAGAAGTGTGTGTCGTTGAAGGTGACGTACCGCTTTTAGTGCCGGTTAAGCTTCTGAAGCAGCTGCGAGCCGTTATCGACATCGATGAGGAGCGCCTTGAGCTTCGGGGGCTGGGAATGACTTTGCCTATGCAGCGTTTGCCTTCAGGACATTATACCATTGATGTCCTGGACTTTGGTCACCAGGACTGGCAGGTGCCTGATGCAGCAGTCCAGGTAGGGAGGCGCATTGAAGAGTTCCGCATTGGATCGCAGCACGGAGGGGATCACAAGTTGTTCGGGGGATTTTGTTGTCATCCTGGCGAGCGCCATGAACCTCATGCTGCAGTTGCGGTCCGGCACAGCTTCGCAGCCAGCACGACCAAGGGCAGTGGGAGAAAGGAATCCTCGCCGGGCGATGGCGCATTGGCGGGTGGTGCTCGACAAGTTGTTCGACTTGATCCGGTTCGTCGAGCTGCAGGGCAACATGGCAGATTGGTGCAATGCGTCATTGCAGCATGCGTGGCCAC